AAACCAATAATGACTTTTCCCTGAGCTTGGCTGTCCCCAGGCCTGATTCCCTCTGCATAGTTTGAGAGTTAAATGCTTCAATATGCACTAACCTGTGCTGTAGAAAAAGTGTTGCCCAGTGACTGTTGCAGAGTGCTGCAGGACTGCTATTTGGCAGCAAAAAGCAAAGGTTATTGCCTTTACCCATTTTTAGATAGTGTGCTTTGCACCTTTAATATAATTCTAACTCAACTTTTAATTTCTGCTACTCATAGAGTAAAACTGACTTTGCTTCTGCATCCCCAAACCTCAGCAATGCCCATTGACACATTGCAGTGACTGCTGCATGTTTCACCTGTTCAGGGTGAATGTTCAAAGACATTTTGTTCCTGCAGGGCCCTTCCTGTGGTCTTGTTTCAGTGGTTTTATCTCATTTTTGTCTTTTGCTTTAATGTGTTTTATATGTCTTAATTTAATATATCAGTTTGCTGCCTAGCAATACAACAGTAGATAGGCATTAAAGAAACAGAATTTATTATGATGATGTTGAGTTCAAATACTAGGGAAGTCTCCAAGATATCATGGTATAATTGTCATTGCAGTTGCGACTGATACAAATTTTTTATTTATTGTTGCACTAATAACTCTTGTACATTACAAGGTGTGCACAGCATGTATTTTAGCAATGTGCCAAAGTCTAAATTATAATAATAAAATAAGATTAGCCTAGAATACAAATGTGGTGGAAAAGCCTCTTGGCTTACTGGCAATGAAAATCAAAGCAAAAAAGAGACATAGGCTCCTTTTAATTTAACAAGACAAAGATAAATCACAGCTACCACTCATTCCTTCAGTGCTTTTTTTCAGGTTACTGTGTATGTCCCTTTGACTTCATTGCTGAATTCAGTATAGTGTCCTGTTTACAGCCAGGATGCCCAGGTGACTGCTGCCTTACCTCCTCCAGCTGGTAACCCTGCTTCCACCACAGCAAAATCCTGTTTTCATCTGCAAGGCTCCCTGTAACTCGCCCACATGCAAATGCTTCTGACCTCAATTAAAGCAGTTCACCTCTCTCTGCCTCAAGGGATGGTTTGCTCTTAAGGCAGTTGTGTTTAATTAGCATTTGCATAGCATTCTGCTGGTTGCACTCTGGGAGCGTTGTTGGGTAGGAGCGTGGGATTGCTGAAGCCTGACTGGCAAGCTTTGCACCCTCCTAATTGACACAGAAGCCAAGTAGAAGTTACACAAGGAAAGAACAGAGAATCGTTAATGATGGATCATTAGCAAGTAGCTCCTTTGAATGAATGTAGATAACTTTATAAGTCTATCAAAGTGAAAAGTAGCATGATGAATTATGCATCAGACAATAAAAGCTCAAGGAAGACACTGGTTTTATAATTGCTGTATAATTTTCTAGCATGCTCTAGTTTGGAAGATTAATTTCTTTGGGAAGTGCGAAGCATTCTATGCCTGTTGTACACTTAATGTCATTTTTGTTTTTCTCTCATTAGAGGTTTTATTCTGTGTCTTTTGGTGCTGCTGCAAAAACTCCTAGGGTTTGAGATACGCAATTTTTATACTAGCAAAAATTTGCACAAGCAATTAAAAAGTGTATAGCTATTAAACTAGTTCCTCTCAGGGTTTGCTGATTTCTCGGATACACACACCTGAAATAAGATTGCTTTGTATCTCTCTATGTTGTTTTTTTAATTATATAGGAATTGCCTAATAGTTTTGTGGCTACGTTGAATTTCTAGACTAATAACTCTCTAAGGGGCATTTCTGCTCTGAAATTATCTTCAAAAGCATTTCAGTTGGCACAACTAGATCATTCCTGTGGCTTGCACTAGTGCCAGTTCAGCCCTCAGTCAGGCCTAGGAAGAGGAATTAATACAAATATTGCCTAGTGCCTACCTGTCACTTTAAAATTTACTGATCTCATACTTGAGATTTTCTCCAAAAATTGAACTGTGTTCAAAATGAGCAGAATTAGAGGAATGAGTTGATAGAAAAGTTACCACTGATGTGAGCTGTTTCTTCACTTTCATGAATGTTAGTGGGTGAAAGGGCACAGTGAGAGATCACCTAATCCATCAGCAAGCCCTAGGAATCAGCTGTAGGATCTGCTATGGTGGAATAATTCTTGTTCCTAAAGGTTGATTTGAACTCAGCAGCCTTCTTGCATGGCCTGTGGCAGAATTTTGCTACCCCTACCATTATAAAAGTTTATTTTCTAGTATCTAGCTTCAGTTTCCTTTCTTGCAATTTAAATCAATTCTTTCTCATTCATCTTGAGCATGAAAAAAGGTTTACTTCCTCCTTGCGGAAAGGTTGCATGGATTTTGGGGGGGTTTGGGGGTTTTTTGTTATAAGTAATTTTTTTGTATTTTTTGAAGACATATTTCCCCGGCCGTTCCCCTTAGGTCTATGATCCCACTGTGTTCAGCTTGTTGTGTTTTCCCTGATCATTTCAGTTGCTGTCCTGTAGAACCCCTTTGGGTATTACAGATGGTGTGTAGTGGGGGCCCCACACCAGACACTGCCCCAGCTGTGACCTGCCAGCCCTAACTAGAGCAAAATGATTATTTCATGTGTCCTGCTGCCTTTTCTCTTGTTTGTACATCCCTGTATGATGCTTGCCTCTTTTGCAACAGCATGATGCTGCTGACTCATCTTCACTTTGTGATCTAAAATAAACCCTAGCTATTGCTACCTTGGTATTTGTCCTCTGCCCTGTATCTATATAATTAAAGGTAGTTAACATCCCCTTGATAGAATGCAATTTCACCCTCTTCTATCAGACCATTTCTCCAGTGTAGCCAGGTCATTGTGAAATCTACTTCACAGTCAGTTTTAGCTTAAGTCCTCAGAAACCTGAGCAGGTATGACCTGAGTTCTACCAGGCAACCCACTAAAAATATACCAATAGATTTCTCTGAAGCTCACTTGAAACATTGTGCTTTTTAGAAGGCCCCAGGTAGCAATTCTCTGAATGTGATTTCCCTCTCAGTATTGCACCTGGCTTCAAATTTACCCAGACTGTGTTCTTTCATGAGTTTATGGAAAAGAGCAGAGAATTTTCTTTCTGAAAGTCAAATCTTATCTGGCGTCCTAGTGGTCAGAGGGTAGTCTTACCTGGCTTTAGATGTCTGGATGGTAGAGGTCTGCCTCTAAGGTATTTGCCTACCAGCCCAATTAAGGAGAAACCTAGATGATCAGAAGTCATCTGGCCAAGTTTCATCATTTACCAGTGTCTTAGAAGAACTACACTGTGTGTGTTTTCATCTGTAGTGATTCCAAAGGGAATCTATATCTAGGCTATTGGCATCTAAAGTTAGATGGGATGTATCTCACCTCCAGCCCTTCTCCTGGTAGAAAGACAAGAGAGTGAGCTATTTTTTCCTCATAGATACATGCTGGCTGCTACTCATCTCCTGAGTGCTTTCAGTGTGATTATTTGCTCTAGTATATAATGGAACTTAGTTAATTAATCTGGTCTTCAATTTCCCAGTTCGGCTTCCTTTCCTTTTTAAATACAGGAACCATACCTGACCTCTTCTAGGAGCATACTCATCAGGAACATACCAAATCAGCTTGAAAAAAAAATGTTTTTTCAAGGCATTCTTTACCTTATTTGGGCCTGCTTGTAGGTGAATACCTTTACTGTATTAATGATTTGATCACAAATTGATGAGGACTGATTTAAAAAATGGCATATTTTAGCATGCTGCTTGACCTTTGTCAGCATGTCTCCTCAATAACTCAACTTCCCTATTCATGCTCTTATAGGATAACTTCTTGCTGTGGTTCATTTCCCTTGCTGGGAACATCCCATTTCTTCAGAAAGAAGTCAGACACAGTTCTGCCTAGTAAGAGGCACTATGCATTTCTTTGCATTTCTAAGTAAAACTCTAGTGTCATAGGCAAAGACATTACTTAAAACTTTTCCTGTAATTCTTTGAGATGATATAATAAAGACCTTAGCTGCAAATAGAGGAATTATTTTGCCAATTGTCCAAAGGATCAAAGGATCCTGAATTTTGTATAAAAGTTTTCAACTGATATTTCGGGAAATTAATGCCCTTTCTTTCTCTCTCTATCAAACCATATTTCTATGCATATGCTGGGCATACACCTCAGTTTTGATTGCAGTCTAAATTTGTGGCTCATTCTCTCTTCTGAGACTGACAGTAATGGTTATAGCTGCTGGTCTGCAAGCGACTATACTGAAATCTGCTCAGTTGACGACAGTAAAAATTGAGATCTGACTACCTGCATTAGACATAAAAGTCTTCATACTGTTGCCAGCTTCCCTAAGTGATTCCCACCTTTGAAGTTATTCTTGCTGTATTAAAAAACCCCAACATTGTTGAGTTTCTTATGGCTGCCACTGCCTATATTTTTGACAGAAAACATGAAACAAGCTTAAAATACCTTTGCTGTGCATGATGTCAGTTCTACATCACCTCAGTGTAACGGAGCTTGCTGCAGAGGCACTTGAGCTGTTGTTAACTGGAGATGGTGCTTCCCATCATCTGGTTCACTGTTCCAGCATCAGTAACTGTGTGTTAAGATGACATTTCATTGTGTTCTTATGGTTGTGCTGCCTCCTGTCTAGACAGAGTGTGGGGATATCTGCAGCAGATCCTGTTGTGTGGGCTGGGCATGGTCTGGGCACTGTTGTTCAGCTAGCAGAGAGTGGTAGACCTGTGATGTAGTGTGTGACTCAGAGTACCCTGATATACACACCATTGGGAAAAAGGTGAAGACATGCCTAACATTGGACAAATATTCAGCAGATTTGCTTTTGGGTGAACTACTTGAATCTGGCTTATTGGTGCATTATTATGAACTGGAATTTTTTAGTCTGTCACTCCAGAATATGACATTTCTGTGATAAGGAGTTTGATAAGACCACCGTAAAAGTGACATACTTGCCTTTAAACTAACTTAGACACTTAAATATAAATATGGGCAGTAGTTTTCAAAAGTAATTTCCCTTCTGTCTGCTTCTTTTACAGGACCAGGTGTCAGATACAGTGAATTTGCTGTGTCTCATCCCAAGCCACCTCCTCTTGTTGGACAGCATACAGTGGAGATACTGAAGGGCATGCTGGGGTATGAGGATGATGCCATAGAAGAACTGATCCGCACTGGTGCTGTGTCTCAGCATGAGGTCAGATAAGGAACATTAGCTACATTCCTTCACACTGAGTTCACGTTACTTTGTCCTCTCTTTACTCCCTTCAGCTCCCCTAATGGGGCTCCAAGAGAAGACCTAATGTAATTCCTAATTTTCTTCCATGTGTGTTTGTATGATTTTAACACTGATGTATCAAATAAACAATCTCATAGTGCCTAAGTGAAAGATTTTCTTGGAGGGGGTGGTGGTAAATGTAATTACACAGTCCTGTGTGGCTACTCATTTTCTGTACTTCATATGGGAAATGGAGTTCTTATAATAATTACAGTAATTGCCTAAATGTTTGTCCCCAGAAGGACATAATGTTAGTGAAAAGAAGCAGAACCTTAAAAAGCTGTATACTAGACTCCCCATTTGCAGAAAGCTGTTCTGTACAATTATTTTAGTAGCAAATAAATTGTGTACAAAGTAGTGGTTTATTTTATTGATTTTGAACAGAATCATCAATCATGAACACTTTGTTCATCTCTATTTTTAATCCTGGGTAGAGTAACCATTGCAAAACCCTCTTCTGTTCCCTGGTATTCCCAATTACCAGTAGTCTTTATATGACATTGCATGGTCAGGACAATCCCAGTATGTTAGCAGAAATAAGCTGAAATTGGCACAGTTAGTCAGTTATGAAACAAGCCTATTCCAAGATCAGTTGAGAGACAAACTGTGATTGAATAGTCTTTTGTAATTTGATTCAGAAAGGCCCAAAGTACTGTTGATTAAACATTGAGCCACACAAAAAAAACCCCACATGCTGAATGTCAAATCCCAGAACTTGCCAGACTTCTCGGTCTGGCTCTGTGGGTAGGTACTGATCCCTGTCTCTGACTCCAGTTGCCATCCAAAGCACCTTTCATTATGGAGAGAACAAAGGTTAAAATCTGTGCAAAACTTTTGACTCAGTCAAAACCCCCATGGTGAGAGCTGACAAACATTCCTCAGATTTAGTAATAAGATCCTGCAGTAAGGTTGGTCTTAAGAGTAAGGCACTATGCACTGCTAGGAGGAGGAAGAATTTGATCTGTGACAAGTTTTAAGGAAAAGATTAAAAAAGAGCTATTTCTTCTCTACAAACCAATCTGGCAGTACTTCACTCACAGAAGAAATGCCACGCTCCTCTATCACAGCATATAATTTTCAGCTAAAGTAAACTCAGCATATGGGAAGGGTCTAACCTTTGTTGTGTACACCCTGGGAGTGAGGCAAAGCCTTTCTATTCTTAGAACTAAACAAAACTAACTCAAATTGACACTCAACACATAACATCCGTATTTCTCCCAACATATCGGAAACAGGCCTGGCATTATAAGTAGCTTGTCACTTTGTTTCCACTCTAACAAACAACATCCTCTGTATTACACTTGAACTTCACAAGTCTAGGTTACCTTCTGCGGGAAGAAAATAGGTTATTATATAATCAAATTCCAGTGGAACCCCACTGTGGTTGCTCATTTTTGAATCTCAGTGTGTTTTGGTTCATTTGTTTGCTTGTTTTCACTGTGTTATTGTGTTCTTGTTTCCAGATCTTCTCCCTTTTTTCTTTTTTTTTTTTTTTAATTCTCTCTTGCACTGCATTCCTGGCACTAAACTCCATACTCTGTCCATGTGCTAAAGACATCATGAGATCCTGGAAGAGTGACTTCTTAAATAAATATGGAAATAAATCTGAATTGAGAATAGGGACACCGTAGGGAGAGAACTGAAACTGGATTGGAAGAGGTTTTGATGTAGTCCACCTTCCTTTTAATCTAAGGGGAACATCCCTTTTTTGATGAGAAAAGCAGCAATTTGAATTCAGCGTGACATAAAATGGATAATCTGGCATTGAACTGAACTTTGTTTACCAATGAAAACTATTTAGCATGTTCACAAATAAAATTGCTGGTTTTACTTTGTTAAGGGCTTTTCTCCTCCCATTTCTAAGAATCACATATATAAGATATAGTAAAATATTGCTCAGATTTTGCTCAGTTTTGAGTTTCAGTCACATCCTGAAGTGCCTCAAAAACAACTTCTTAAGAGAAGAAATAGACAGCCCTACCTGAGGGGATGCATTATTAGACCTGATGGTCACAAATGCAAGTGAAATAATCAGAGATGTCAAAGTTGAAGGCAGCCTGGACTGCAGTGACCATGCACTAGTGCAGTTCACTGTGCCAAGGGGCATGAGGCAGATGAACACAGTGAGGACCCTACATTTTAGGAAAGCAAGCTTCCAGCTCTTCCAGGAGTTAGTAAATAGGACCCTCTGGGAAACAGCCCTCAGGGACAAGGGAGCAGAACAGAGCTGGCAGATCTTTAAGGATGCTTTTCATAGAGGACAAGAGATCTCAGTCTCCAGGTGTAAGAAATTAAGCAAGAAAGGCAAGAGACCAGTGTGGCTGAGTCGAGACCTGCTGGTCAAACTGAATGGCAAGATGGAACTGCACAGGCAGTGGAAGTGGGGACAGGTATCCTGGGAAAAGTATAGGGACATTGTCTGGTTTTGTAGGGAAGAGATCAGGAAGGCCAAGGTGCACCTGGAGCTGAATTTGGCAAGGGATGTAAAGAAAACCAAGAAGGGCTTCTACAGGTACATAAACCAGAAAAGGAAGGGTAAAGAAAGTGTTGTCCCACTCCCAGATGAGAAAAAATGGTGAACTAGTAACAACAGAGGAGAAGGCTGAGATTCTCAACAACTTTTTGCCTCCACAGCCTCCCTGGGCAGCCTGTTCCAGTGCTCTGTCACCCTCACCCTAAAGAAGTTTTTCCTCATTTTTAAATGGAACTTGCTATGTTCCAGCTTGTACCCATTGCCCCATGTCCTGTCACTGGGAAAAGAGTCTGGCTCCACCCTCTTTCCACCCACCCTTTAGATACTTCTAGGTGTTAATAAGGTCTCCCCTCAGCCTTCTCTTCTCCAGGCTAAAGAGTCCCAGCTCTCTCAGCCTTTCCTCATAAGGAAGATGCTCCAAAACCCCAGTCATCTTTATTGCCCTCTGCTGGACTCTCTCTAGTAGTTCCCTGTCTCTCTTGAATTGGGGAGCCAAGAACTGGAGAGTAATGTGCTCTAGGCAATCCTGCTTTAGCAGGGGAGTTGTACTAGATGATCTCTAGAAGTCCCTTCCAACTCTGATAATTCTGTGATTCTGTAGTTCACTGGCAACCTCTCTCCTCGTGGCTCTCAAGTTGATGGCCCACAAGTTGGAGACCAGGGAAACAAAGTTCCTCCCACCATAAGTGAGGACAAGGTTTATGACCACCTGAGGAACCTGAACATACACAAGTCCATGGGACCTAATGAGATAAATCCTAGAGTCCTGAAGGAATAGGCTGATACCATTGTCAAGCCACTCTCCATGATAACTGAAAAGTCATGGCAGTCAGGTGAAGTCCCTGGTGACTGGAAGAAAGGAAACATCACCCTCATTTTTAAAAAGGGTGGAAAGGAGGACCCTGGGAACTACTGACCTGTCAGCCTCACCTCTGTGCCTGGGAAGATCATGGAATAGATCTTCCTAGAAGACATGCTAAGGCACATGGAGGACCGGGAGGTGGTTTAGGACAGCCAGCACAGCTTTACTAGGGGTAAATCCTGCCTGACCAACCTAGTGGCTTTCTACGGTGGAATGACTGCATCAGTGGACAACAGAAGACCTATGGATGTCACCTATCTGGACTTCTGCAAGGCCTTTGACACAGTCCCCCACAACATCCTTCTCTGTAAATTGGAAAGATATGAGTTTAATGGGTAGACTCTTCAGTGGATCAGGAACTGGCTGGATGGTCACATCCAGAGTAGTGGTCAAGGGCTCAATGTCCAGATGGAAAATTGTGACAAGTGGTGTCCCTCAGGGGTTCATACTGGGACCAGTGTGGTTTACTATCTTCATTAGTGATATAGACAGTGGCATTTAGAGCACCCTCAGCAAGTTTACCAATGACACCAAGTTGGGTGGTGTGGTTGATATGCCAGAGGGACAGGATACCATCCAGAGGGACTGGACAAGCTGGAGAGTGGGCCCAGGTGAACCTCATGAGGTTCAACAAGATCAAGTGCGGGGTCCTGCACCTGGGCCAGGGCAACCAGAGATATGAATCTCTGCTAAGGGTAGACATACGAGAGAGCAGCCCTGTGGAAAAATACCTGGGGGTACTAGAGACAAAAGCTGGACAAGAGCCACCAATGTTCAGTTGCAGGCCAGAAGGCCAACTACATCCTGGGCTGCATCAAAATAAATGTGGCCAGCAGATCAAGGGAGGTGATTGTACCCGGGTAACACCTCACCTGGAGTACTGCATCCAGCTCTGGAGCCCCCAACAGAAGAAGGGTGTGGACCTGTTGGAGTGTGTCCAGAGGAGGGCAACAAAAATGATCTGAGGGCTGGAGCACCTCTCTTATGAAGGCAGGCTGAGGGAGTTGGGGTTGTTCAGCCAGAAGAAGAGAAGACTCTGGGGGGACCTTATAAGTGACCTTCCAATACCTGAAAGGGGCCCAGAAGAAGGCTGGGGTAGAGAAGAAGGCTGGGCAATGTAACAAGAGGACAAGGGGTAATGGTTTTAAGCTAGAAAAAGGTAGATTTAGGTTGGACATTAGAAAGAAGTTCTTTAATATGGGAGTGGTGGATCACTGGAATGGGTTGCCTAGAGAGGAGGTGGAAACCCCATCCCTGGAGTCATTCAAGGTGTTTGATGGGGCTCTAAGCAATCTGGTCTAGTTGGAGATGTCCCTGCTTATTGTAGGGGAGGTTGGCCTAGATGACCTTTAGAGGTCCCTTCCAGTGCAGTGTATTCTGTGATTCTATAATTCTATGAAATTTTGCCCTTTCACAAGATTTGGTCCTTTGGTTTGGGATTATTTGGAGGTCAGTTAAATAATTGTCTTCTAATATCTTAGCTGTTATAGTACCCTTTTTCCTTTAATAATGGACAAATAAATGCAGAAAAAGAGTATTTACAAAATTTACTGCACTCTTCCAAGGAATCCTCAGGAATACATGTCTCTAGAG